ACAAAATAGCAGAAATTTGGCATAGACTACTTAGTATAGAGGGTTCGATGGTAGCACCAAACAAACAGTCAACTGTGTTCTATCATTTGTTTAATTTAATTGTCTATCGTAGAAAAATACGAACTCAACAATGATCTAATAGTTTATTCACTCAGTTAAATGATTTCTGAACGCAAGTTCGCATCCATCCACATATATGTTCAGTCCATGGATGATAGATTTATCGGTGTAGATAGTTTTTCGATATTCTGTTTCAATAAGGAAACAATAAATCAATACTCTGATTGTCACGCGATAGAGCATTTTATGTATCAATCTCATATTGAACAACGGTAACTCTTTGTCGAAAATTCGAATGAACGACGTCTGGATTGAAATTGTGCCTGCAAGTAGCTTTAGCAGCCAACCATATATTCTGAATATTTCCACTCATACAAACTTTTCCTTGTCGAGATATTTACTAGCTAGAAAGTTGAAGTTTTTCGACCACGAGAATGGGTTTTCGCGAATAAAAGTTTCGGCAATAGAACATTTGTTTGCGTATAAATGTTTAGATTATTTTATTGCCCACTGAACCTACCGGTAGCCAGAGTTTCAGCTCAGGATTCATTTATTCGAATATTGCGAAAAACTTTCATCATGTACTAAAAGCGTGATATAATGAGCAAAACTGTTTCCAGATGTTGCAATGGCGTAAACTATTTTGGAGTTGAATTGTTCTATTGTTAATCTATATATTGCTTAAGACTTGAGCTCAAAAGCTATGAGACACTTCAAAAGGTTCATTATTCAGTATGGCTTCTTTTATTTTAACTCGAAACTACAGAAATATCAAAATGAATTACTCAATGAATGCACTATGCTATTAGTACAAAAATTTATGCTTTATGGGCACTACTGTAGACCTTTTGATGAATGACTGCAATTAACCAGGACAACTAAAGTAAACTTCGGATGTTCAGCATAGAGATTTTGCAGAAGTTACACAACTTTTTGTAAGATTCATTTATTGAAAGCCTTAACTTGTAATTTCCTTATTATGCATTGAAATGCTTCTGACATTGTCTAAGCTTAGTCCTTTTCATCTCAAGTTGCTTAACCGATAAAAAAAATAGTAGCAGGCATCAAAATGTGCTATAAAAGCGTTCACGGTAATGCTTGTTAACTCAATCAAGGTCATCCATATTGAGCTTCAATATTGATTGCATAAGGTGAAAAACCATAGAACATCTGCCACTTATTATGGAAAACAATTTCTTTCGTATAAATATCAATGTAAGACTTTCAATAATCATTCTATTAGTAGAACATAGATTCGAAGAATCAGTTCTTTAATCGTGAAGCAACTAGATATCGTATAAGAAGACGACACAACAGCTTGTATTGGTTGGTCTGTAGTGAATGTGAGAAAGACATAGACAATCTGTTACTTACACTGCTGAACACTTAAGAAGGTAGCAACGGCAGACAATGAAATTACTATTATGAGAATTCCGTGGCTCATGTCGATCGCCACCAATTTCCACCCAGCTACCGAACCAATAGGGATGATGTGCTCGTTGGTACACTTCTAAAACAAATCTTTTACATGCATCATAGCTAAAGCGTCAACGAACTGTATTAGAGGTGTCTTCGAGGTTTTGCTTAGTCTTGATACTTCGCCATTTATCTCTTCGATGGATTCGATGGATGGACGTTTTGGTTTCGCCTGTTAAGATCATCATTTTCTCGTTCATTACACATGAAAAGTGAACCATATATACCTACTGTAATGGACGTCATTCTATTGTTCTCCATATTTATGTGGTTGGTATGCTAGCACTTGATGTTGCTCAACAGCGATTTACACTAAATAGTCTAAACAGAAGAAATATGAGTTACATAGGTATTAAAGTAGACGTCTTAAATGGAAAAATTATAGCATGGATAGTGAGGATGTGATATGTGGTTTAGGGTGTGGATACATACTTTACTCACTCACACAGACATTCTCAAAATTAGATGAGAGTGTGATGGTCGATGATGGTAGATGAAGATGTAGGTACCGCCGATGAAAAGAAAAGTATTCATATCTACACTCTGTTTGTTGTTTTCACATTTGTGTGATTACAATAGTTGTCTCAATCTATGTTGGATGATGTAATCAAGCAAGAGAGATAACTACAACATTGTGCAAAATCAATCGGAAGTTGTAATGTCTTGATTCGAGGTCATGCCAGTGTTTTCTTGAATATTTGATTTGTATCATCTCGAAAGTTTCAATATATATTTCGACATGTTTACCTTGAACTTAAGTTTTATGTATCATATGCACTTGAAAAGAAAAAAGTTACTGTTTCATTAGCTCTTATTTTACTTGAGTAGCAAAAGCTCAATGTGTAATGTTCATGATGAGAAACATCAGAAATGAGGTTTTATGAATGATATTATGATCGTCAGACTACATAAAAAAACTGGTGAATTCAAAGCAGCATATCAGCATCAATGTACAGTTCCACTGCATATTCAACCTAGAATAACCTCGAAGAAAAATTTTCACGCTTTGAGGAAAGCTATCTTGGCTCACGTTTTAAGCTATAGTTTTCATTTTTGAATCTGTCCTACGTCTTCTCTCCCGTATTTTACAAGTCAATCACGTAAAGAGATCAAGATTGCCTCTTTAAGTCAACATTAATTCGTTGGATGAACTATCCTGAAGGAAAATATGATCAATATCTAAGAAATTCATGAAAAACGAAACAATTGCCTCTGCTATGAGCTTCCTCAGTTTCATAAATTTTCTTTAGTCTTTGATCGTTTTATTGGATAGAGCATAAGCGTACATCCACTAGCAACGCTGACTATGCAGTTGGCATGTTCTCAACCAAAGTATCGTTACCTGTACGTATGAGATTGCATACCTAGCTTGAATTTGAGTTGATTGATGGAGTGAACGTTTGATTGATTCTCCTTAAAGCAGTTTATATATAAACAACAGAATGACTGCGTTTATTTACCGTTTTGAAGAAAAAAATCTTGAAGTGAAGTAATAGCATCGAAGGATTCATTGGCGTCTGCTGTTCGCGATCCAGTTATTTTCCTCCATTAGAGGGCCGAGAAACAAAGCTCAATTAGCTGACTTGAGAATTTTTTAAAACAATAACAATCATCTTAAGAGCCTCAAAAGCCAACGAAAGTAACTTAAAAGCATTTTCTATTAAGAAAACAGTGTCTGTTTCGAAAGAATGGGTGTTAGTTTTCGTCGCCGAAAACTTCCAAAATGCACAGCATCTTTTACAAGGGTGTTGGGTGTTGGTGTTGGATGCAGCTGTGGATGTGAGTGTGCATGAAGAGGAGAAATACACCAACATCCACATCTGCACGCAAGTTTTGATCGAGAATTACGACTGCGATAGTTTCATTAGACCAATGGCGAGTTGTACCAGATAAAGAAATCGAACGAAAAACAAAATAATTGTGCAGATTGGTTGTACAGAGATCAGAGCCGTGTAGAAATAGAGAAGTAAAACTGAGGCTCGGAACCAAATAGAAAACAAATGAAAATTCCACATCTCCTTTGCATTTGCACCACACAAAATAAGTTCGAGTCAATAAACGATTCAACACCGAAAACGTTGACTTCGTGTCTTGTCAAAAAACAACTCGTTTTATGCGAAAAAAAACGCACGATGAGCGTGTATGTGCGTGTGAACGAGACTGGATAGAAGCGCTAAGCCCACATTAGACACCTTAGTCTTCCTCCAGAGATGCATGTACATCCACACCCATACCCTATGACAGCATCGACCATGACCTCTCTTTGTGTATGCAGTTTAACTGATGGAATTTCGAGCAAATTTTTCAAAGACATCCCGTATTGTCGAAGACAAAGACATGCTTTTAGTTCTGAAACATTGATTGTGGGATGTGTAGCCTCTGAATCATAACGGTGTAGGTTTGCGTGATATACTTCTTCATGTCCACGCCCAGGCTATGAACCACACTCACATTCCATCATAGTCTTTGGTGCTTGAGAACTATGTGCACGCTGTCTGTCTGTCAAGGTAGATGACTTTATAGGAAGCCTTATCAACTCTATCTATTTGTCAAGATTTGTGAGGCGTCCTAAAGATCAATATGTTCGAATACCTGCCAGAGTCTGTAACAGTATCTAAATTAAAATAGTACATTATTACCTAGTGTTTCAACTACTAGTGTAAATAATGAAGTTTTTCATACATTAATGCTTGAATCTAAATATTCGTGATCTGATAATTTGGATTAACATTTCCAAATATCTGTTATAGTCCGTGAGGCAGGCTTGATGATTCACTTTTCTTGCTGTATACTTTAACACGCATTTCCACTGATGTTTCATAAAAAGGTAGGATTTGAAACATTGACTCTTATTATTGTATTCAAAATTGCTCTTTAATAAACTAGACCTGAAAAGGAAAAACGACTTTAAGCGAATTAATAATACGTGGCGATGATGATATACTCTTTTATCTGAATTTATGGCAGATGGTTGTGATCCCATCATATATGAATCTATGATTGAGTGAGGCATGTAAAACGAAGACAAAACATAGATAGAGAAGTTAATAAAACGATGTGGCTAACTAATATGTTGTTGCTGATCATAGTTAGGTAAGTAGAATTCTCTCATGCTCATAAAATTATATAATCTGGTGACTATTTTTAGCCTTTCAGGTATGTTTTCTATTCGTCAGGTTTTCATCTGTTCATTGTTGCTTCGTTTATCAGATCAAGTCAAAAGTGACGCGTGTCAAGGAGGCACTCAATACGATCGATGTTCATCGAACATGGAGTGTGGTTGCCTTCCTCTGATGAATACTCGCAATAGTAGCATATGTGCTTTCCTTCATATTAAATGTTCTGAATTGGTCTCATGTGCCAACAATAACCGAACATGCTATCGGCCTGGTTATCTATGTGTGAATCATCCGCGATGTCAAAGTGCTCCACTATGTTATCCAACGAATAAGGCACTTCAAATTATGTGTCCACCAATACTACCAGCGACAACAAGTGAGAAGTAAAAATCAAAACTTTATTATGTTTGTCTTTTCACTTTCCAGCTCTACCATCAGTAGTATCAGGCGATGGCATTTGTACAAATGCCACATGGAATCTAAATGGAATCACTGTAGCTGGAGGAAATGGAGCGGGCTTCGAATTGAATCAACTCAACTCTCCTCTTGGATTATTTATGGATAACGATGCTGCCGTTTATATAGCGGATACATGGAACGATCGAGTAGTCAAATGGATGCCTGGAGCATCTGTCGGAAGTGTAGTGGCTGGTGGTAATGGAGAAGGTAATCAGAACAACCAGTTATATCGTGTGTCAAAAGTTGTCGTTAACAAGAATGGAACAATGTACATTTGTGATCGTGGTAACTTCCGAGTTCAGCGATGGTTTAAAAATGACGAACAAGGGGAAACAATTATTAAAAATATTTCATGTTTGGGACTGGCAATGGACAATGAAGAATCTCTGTATGTTTCTGACGGTGAGAGAAAGCGTGTAATCAAATGGCCTAGTAATGATGTAGTTGCTGGTAAAAACAGTGAAGCATCTGAGGATGATGAACTCTTGGAACCTGTCCATATATTTGTTGATCAAGATCAATCCGTTTTTGTGGCTGATTTCCAAAGTGCTCGTGTAATGAAATGGTCAGTCGGTGCCAAAAAAGGTATAGTTGTGGCTGGTGGTAATGGGGAGGGGGATGGTGCTAATCAGTTGAATGGAATGAAATATTCAACAATAATGTTAATCATCAGGCTACCGTAGGATCACATTAGTTTAATGAACAAAGAGAAATACGTAGATATTGAATTATTTATCCCAGTTCAGTTGTCGTTGATCAGATCGGTACCGTCTATGTTTTGGATACTGATAATCATCGCGTCATGCGTTGGCTCAAAGACTCAAAGTCGGGCAGTGTTATTGTCGGTGGACGAGGCTGGGGCAGTGAAATAGATCAATTATCATTTCCGGAGGATTTGACATTTGACCGACAAGGAAACCTTTATGTAGTTGACGTTGATAACCATCGCATCCAAATGTTCACTATTAACAAAAGCTCCTGTGCGAAGACTATTCATCAAAATAGTTTTGCTAATTGAAAGATCAATAACTGTCTCTATCTTTTCCGTATTAACGCCTAGAACTAAAAGTCATCTTTGCAAAAAAAAGTACACAGTGAAGAACTCAGTAAGTTTACCATGGGGTGCAGCTGAGTATTTTGAATTTTCTAGAAAAATCAATAAACTCCGTTGATCGTTCTTCATTTTATTAAGAAAAACATTAACATATGTGTCTAATGCAACTCTTTACTGGCTAACACATGTGTAGTCAAAAGATAAGACTGAATGTGGGTGTAGAATAGAAAACCAACATCATCATTCATGTCCACATACCCATATCCTTTGATTCGTGAAGGCCATGACACCTTATACAACTTTGTTAATTAAACTAATCCTCTTTATATTGTTTAATGCCTTAAATACTTAATTTACATGTATTACAAAGTTGAAAAAGGCTTTCACGTGTGTCTGAAGTGTCTGAGTTGAAAACATGTAGTGCATATCAAGACTTTCATCAGCGTCAAGAATCTCCTTATAGATTTGTCACTGATTAAATCATCAAAACCTTTGACACTTTTAATATCTAAATGCATAATGGATTTTGGTTGTTTATCTTTGTTGAGAATGCAAGATGCACTAATCACATCGGGATGTACATTTCGAAGGATAGTGAAGCACTGTAATCATAAATGATTTGAACGAATTTCTCATGTTCAAGTGATTCCATGATTCTTGGACACTACTCGTCGTTGAGTAGCATTGTAAATGCTTCACAATACTTGGCGAGTTGTAACAAATCATGTTTATCTTTTAATCAATAACCGGCTGAAGTATGAAGATTTTAGTTGTTTGTGTAATCATTTAGGGTGTTATGGATAATTAATTTTTCATTGATATTTTGTTTGAATTTATTGATTGATGATGGAAACGCATACCGAGTTTCAGCATACCGACGTGAATTTTATGGAATGGTATTCCTAATACACCTTGAGCTAAACATATTTTTCTGTGAATGGTATGCGACAATTATGTTCATTTACGTGAGAATCATGTATTTAACATACTATTTATATTTGTTGAGGTCGATTGTTAAGTAGTTGCTGTTCATCCGAATGGTCATCGATATTCATGGAATAGACTTGATTGTGTAAATATACTTGTGTCTGAAACGATGAAAAATTATGTGAAATCAGTTGTCGCACTATTTTGTTTTGGATGCTCATGAGAGTGATTAATGAGTTCGAATAATATTGTTCATGAAACAACATGTTGTTGACAGATGAACGTTGGAAAGTTTGGTTGCCACAAAATTGTCGTTAAGCAATAGTATTACATATACTGTCTTGTGCCTAATGCCTGCATTGTATAATGAAGCATATCCAGTGACACATAACTAACGTGTATCGACAGTAAACGAACACAGTGTATCTCAATTTTTCTTTTTTTTTTCTCGAAAGATTTTTGCATGCAAAAATGATCATCAAACCAACTTGTTGGGTATAACTTACAAGGAAAACGTCCGATGTATCCAGCTTCGTTTTTATTCTTTCATGTCTAATCTAATAGAATCTATTGAAATAAGAAAAGCTGAAAATAATCAATGCGCATGACTAATCTGTTAAGAGTTATGGCCGTATTATTGAATTTTCAACCTATCCGAAAATATTTATCACCAAATCAAACTAGTTGAATATATTACTTGAATATTCACTCGGATGTACTTCAGTAAATTGAAAAGAAAACTTCGATATCTTCCTCCTGTCTAATATAATTAGTGTCTATTCTAAAATGAATCTATCAGTAGCATTCAGTAATGATCAGAGGCTCTATATTAAACTGAGACTCTGCTCATTTGATAAAACTTTTATATCTGCAATTTTCAGCTGGTATGTAACACTAAAATGTAAACAAAATCTACTTTATTATTAACTATCGATATTCATTCCATTTATAAAGTTATTGTTCTTCAGTATTTTTTATTAAATTGTTATAAGGCCATTATTCGAGGGAATCTTAAAAAACTGTTGAGAATATTTATATTGTGATGTGCAATATCTGACCAGGTTGTTTTCAGAATAGACATCGGTCCAGCCCATTTGACAGTGACTAAGCAGATCAAATCGAACTTTAAAAATAGGAGGTTTTTTATCGGAATGGGTACCGTTTTCAAAGCTTACTTATAATCAATTAATTAGCCTAGATCATATGATTAATGCCAATTGTATTACCATGTTGCTTTAGGCTGTTTTGAATCATATGCTTGTACTTGGCAACGTGTTGTTGAATTGAAGATGCCCATTTAGATAGAGAACTATTAGATATTATATTTCTTTATTTAATTTATGCTTTACCAACAAGTTTTTGTCTATTCTATTTTGGTAATCTAGTTGGTAAAGAAATGGAAGCAAACTTAATAAATCAGAATTATTTAATGTATTTATGTCTAAAACCATTTTAGTGAAAACTGAAAAGTAATATAACATCAAATCACTTAGCCAACGTTATTTGATTACATCAATTATTATTTCACGTATGTTTTCATTTCATTTGGTTCAATAATAGCTCTATACCAAATGCTACTTAACAGTACATTATATTATGGAAAAGCTTTCATCCAAATTTGGAAATACTCATATGGACACATGAAACAATAGCTAATCGAAATCTATCATTATATAATCAAAAACGTTTTCAAAATTTAGTTTGAAGTTTATGACAAGCATCAGACATATTACGTTATGAAATTCTTTATCAATATGGTGGCATTTATATAGATTTGGATTTTGAACCATTAAAAAGTATTGAATCACTTTTACATGAAGTACAAGCATTTGTTTCTTATGAAAGTGAATATTTCATTTGTAATGAAATTTTATTGTGCTGTCCTTAGTCATGAATTAACAAAACAATTAATTGTGGAATTAGAATCGAATTGAGCTCTATATGAAAATGGAACAATTAATCAATAGACAGGTCCATATTTTATAACGAAATAAGTTAAATCTATGTAACAAGAGTAAAAGACAACAATGAAAGATGGTTTTTAAAATGTTTACACCTCATATTTTCTTTTCTTATGCATGATATGAAAAGGATTCAAGTCATCCATATGATCCATTGTCTTTTGCTATACATCATTTTTGTCCAGTTGCTAAAAAATAAACAAGATGCTAAAGAAAGATATTAATCATCTACATATTAACTAGCTAGTTTTTAAGTTATCAAAACAAAATTGATTTATTCATATCTTTTATCGATTTTAATGCTTTTTTTATACTAACTTCTTTTATTTCGAATGATTTTTTTTTTAAATCTAACATTTCAATATAGCTCTTTTTTTGTCATATATTGATGCTCTAGGTTTTGGTATATTCTATAATAAAATTCTATGACATGTAAAAAGTATTTACCTAGTCGACGACTATGAAACAATTAATTACTATTTTCTTGATAGTAAGATGCATAGTATCAAAATCTAGATTAAAGTTGCCTTGACTATGAAACATCCAAATGAACTAAACGTTTGTGTCTGCTAAATTTAGATGATGACCTTTCGAATGAACATAAAAAATCAAATTTTAACGAATGCTTTTTTTTATTGGAGTTATCCTTCAATTTCTAATGAAGGTTCTCTTAATATATATATTCTTTTTGTTGCAATTTAAATAGAATGTGAAACTTATTCTATAATAACTCAACTAGATTCAATTTTTATTCTGCATATACAATTTTTTTTTGGTACACACAAGTTTATTATTCTTTTGATACATACATTTCATATTTCAAGCCAAACACATTAGTAGAAAACAGCTAACGACGGCAATAGACTCCTATTTGTTGATATGATTTGATTTGTGATTAGAGCCCGTCGGGTCCAGAATTTTTGGACCCGGACCCTGGCCCAGGATTTTGAACCCGAACCCGGACCCGATCATTTAAAATTTTTCTACCCGGATCCGAACCCGGACCCGTTTACAGGTTGCTGGACCCGGACCCGGACCCGGTCGCTTAAATTTTTTGGATCCAAACACAATGACAAGTCAGTTTAGATAGTATAGTCAAGAAGGGTTTTGTTGTTTTTTATCTGTTTTCTAAATACATTTGATCTCTTCTTTGTATAAAACGAACAAAACTTTAAAAAAATTCAAAATAAATTGTATGGATCAAAGTTTTCTTCAGACCTGGACCCGGTTAAAGCAAAATTTTCAGACCCGGACCCGGACCCGGACCCGGTCAAAATAAAATTTTTGGACCCGGACCCGGCCAAAGTAAAATTTTTGGACCCGGACCCGGACCCGTGCGGGTCCGGGTAGGGTCCGGATCCGGGTCCTACCCGACGGGGTCTATTTGTGATACTGAACTGTATATTACTATTTCAATGATCTAGATCAATCAATGCAATTGTCTTGTTTGAATAGAGTTTTAAAGATTATATATATTGTGCTTACGATTCTTTAACTGTTTTTTTTTCTGATAAATAAAATTTGAATGAATTTTGACATATCTATCAACAATAAAATAAATATTTATTATGGTGATGATTGCATTCTGATAAATTTTAATCTATGAAAATTAATCAATTGAAGTTATTCGAAATTTGATAAAGTAATATATGATAGAATTATTACAAATTCTCATTCATAAAAAAAAGTTATATACCTAAAATATTATAATTATTTAATATGTACAAGTAAGTTCAATAGT